GCGCTAGGGGCGGTTAGGGCCTGTTAAGATGCCTGTTAGATAGGCAGGTTCTGTCACTTTGCCTCTGATAATAGGCAGGTTTTGTCATTTTCCCTCACAATAATGCATATCTTGATTCTGAGACCCATTTCCGTGGCAATTCATGCATTCGATGCACATAAAAGGCTCTGCTCTAATTGCTTCTCCATCACTTATTGGTGTAACAACCCTCTGTCAATTGTATATAAGTAGAATAAATATAGTTAGCGAGTCTTGTCGTTAAAGAAGACAACTGGCGCTTTACACATTGGTGAAGCTTTCCAAATCACTGGTGATTCATTTCCACATGATCGTCAGCCAAATCTCTGGTGATATTGACCAAATGTTTGGTGGCGACATACAAATATTTGGTGCTTAGGCCTCTCCCTCGCATACGGAAAACAACCTCCTTAGAGAGTTTAAGTGAACTCCTGGTCCGTATCACAAGATCTATCCACATAAAACCCACTAAAAAGATCATAAAACAGACGAAACGACAGAGAAAGTACTCAAAAGCATATCGAATACAAAGACAGTAAGATCAGTCTCAGTACTCGTGAGCTCTTTCGCGCGTTCGCTACGGTCATATCACCCGTTATCCTTTGCAGTCATCTCCGCACACTTCACGCCAGTCTCTGTCCTGGCCAAGGATCGGTGCTGGTGGTCATATCTGTCGCTCATTTATATATGCAACCTATTCACGCAATATCCACGCGATTATCAGCTTCCGTCCGGATGCAGTGCAGCGGCTAAGCTCTACGTCCAAGAGGAGTAGACCTTTGGAGCAGTCGAGGCGGGGCGCTCTGGACTCGAACCGGGGACTTGAACGCTCGTTAGCTACTCACCGCTCGATAAACGGACTCAAACCGAGTCTGCTCGTGGGACTTGAACCCACTCTCCCACGCCTCCTGGGGGCTTTGAATACTTCGGCTAGCGAGGCAACGTCTGCTTGACACACGGGTTGTCTGCTTTCAGCCCCGCACAGACCATACAGTGGCCTACTCGTTTATCCGCAAATTAACTACTGATCCTGTCCTACATGTGCGCTGCGTGCCTGCTGCTCACGAGTCGCTTGACCTTCCTCCAGCAACCCAATCCTAGATCATAAGACGCCCTGCAGTATTCATGACTCTTCCGACTGGCTTGGTTGCCCGTTGGGAAATGGTGCCTCGTGGTGCCCGTAACCGCCACGGCATCACCTCTTCTCGTTCGTCGGTTCACAGGGCTCGGGGCGTCCATGATATTTACTCTGCTTACTAGACCAAGTCAAAAACACGAATGTGATTGGCTGAAAAGTAATGATTATGAATTGCACAACTATGCCTGGCGGACTTTTGTGTGGATGATAAAGTGGCCTTCTAATTGATGTTTTTGTGCTTTTTCCTATAGAAGCCTTGTACCATGCAATACGCGACTTGATGTAGTTACTTAGCACTTGTGGTCGAATCTGGTCGTGCGGCGCGTCTATCGGACTTTGTGTTGGCCCGATTTCTGCGTCGTTGTCTGTAACAGATAGTAATGAAACAGTTCAGATAAACCTGTCTAGGATGAGTGTGTATATCGTGATATCCTATCGTACTTGATATCATTTGACTGTCTAACTTTAAATTTGATACAATGTCATGATAGAAAAAGAAAAAGAGTTAAATTTGGCCAAATCGAGGTTACAACCAACCGGTAGCTTGAATCCGTGGTACTTCTTTGGTAAAATACCACTGGAAGTACTGTCGCCTGATTACGGCAAGAGATCAAGCTCGGGCTCTGTTGAAGGCCATTGGGACGATGTCAAGCTTCGATATAACCAATGCGAGCGTGGGGAGCCTGCCGCAGTGCCTATCAGCAGGAGGAAGGTGTCTCCATCCGATCGGTTAGGTTTGACACACGCTGCAAGTTGAGCAAGGGGGCGTTGGCACGCGGCCAACAATCGCATGATGCACAGGCTGGACGACACAGAAGGTAGTCG